TCAGGTCAGTACTGATCCATGTTTTAAACACTTGAAATTCCAGAATGTCAACAACAATCTTCAGCTGCATGGCAAGCATAAAAGACTCTACAATTACAACGTCAACAGTTCAGTAGACTTGGCCAAGTTGTTTGTGCCAGATTATCTTGCTGAGTTTTCAGGCTTTGATGAGTCACTGGACATGAGTGCCATCCTTCGCCTGTTGGGATTTAACAAGCCTGCACCGATTTTCTACTCCCCAAACCCACTGATGTCTATTCAGAATTCAGCTGATGATGTCAGAGAAAACGTCAGGAACAAATGGGGTCATTGTAATGTTACAGACTGGACTGAAGTCCTCTTCAATGATTGTTTTTCCAAGCTGGAGACCTTGGTGAGAAGTCTGGGACTGACTGGTGGTATTGAGAAGACCAGTTTAGATCTGCTTTCGGATTGGTTGACAAAAGGTGAGTACAGTTTGTAATTTATTATTAATTTTAGTACTTGCACCGCATCAAAATAATTGCATACCCAAATTACAAAGTAACATGCTTCATATATACATGTTACTGTTGGTGTAATCAATGATTTATAAAGAGTATTATTTTGTAATTAGGAAGGTTTGAAATTCAAAAAAAAAATTTGGGTTGCCTTTCAGGAACTAGCAAAGGACAATGGTCATTAAAGTCTTAAGTTTAGGGATCATGTGTAGTAAAGGCATCTGCGGTGGAGTGTCGATTGATACCATCGATTGCCCCTCGGTCCACACCTTGGTTGACATTCGATCACAATTTGATTGACATCTCAGTGAGAGTTGACTAATTTTTGTAGACATGCAAATGAGTGTTGATTGATACATATGAGTCAGTCGACACTTGACTATGTATGGACTGTCAGTCAAGGGTTGATCAGGACATTGATTGAATGTTGACTGAGTGTTGGCCGAGTCCATCGAGATGTCCATCAAGTGTTGATTGAGGTACATCAATCGACACTCAACCATGGATGCCTTTAGTATGCATGGTCCAAGTTTTGTTGCCAGATGGTATAAGGACAGAAAATCAAATAATTGGGCACCTTTATTGTTAACATCGTTGTCATCATTATTTGGCTTCTTGTGGCATCCCTGCTAGGGACACTTAGTTTTCATTAGAGCACATCTTTTGAAATGCCAGCTACATATTGTACTCAGTTTGAGTTAATATGCGACGTGTGTTCTTTTGAGGCACAGTTTTGCAATCTTTGCGGCAATCTTTTTTCTGGCAATGCCATGGCTGGTTTAGAACTGCGATAAGTGATCTAGCACACCTTATCAGTTTTTACTTATCTCTATGACAACCCTTTTGCCACCCAATGCTTCTATACTACTCCTTATCTCTTACTTAATCATTGGTTATTTTGATTTCTATTTTTCTCACCCTGTGATACCTATCCTCTATTGTATTCTATTCCCTAACAAGCTTTAACTCTTTACAGCCCTACACATCCCACCTCCTGCAACCCATACCTCACCTTAGCCTTTGAAAGACCTAGTCTTAAAATAACTCCCACAAACTATCCCCTTACATCCCTACCACCTCCATCTCTACCACACTCTATAACCAACAGCCCCCACCCACCTCCATTTGGTTACAAGCCACACCACACTTACTCTTACCTATTCTACTACACTACACCTTACCCCTACCAACTCTTCCATGTCATGCCTTACCACTTCTACTACACCTATCCCTTGCCACACCTGCAAGGCTTCAACAGCCCTCTACAAATCCGACCACACCTCATCCTCTCTTAACCACACACCCATTCCTCATCACCATTGCTACACTCTATCCCGTACCACTCTTACTACAGTAACCTCACTCCATCCCTTGCTGATCCTACACTTGACTACCCTTACTCTATGCTCCTTACCACACTTCATCCCCAACCACATCTGCTACACCCCCATTCCCTGCCATACCCACCTCACCTCATTTCCCACCCCACCTCCCCCCCCCCATACAATCCCTACCAAGCATCGCTTACCACCTCTACCACACGTCATTCCCTACAACCCTTACCACTCTCAGTCTGTATTCAATCCCCTGTCAAAATGTACCTTCCGTTTTGTCAAACCCTTCATGCTTTGTTTGATTGTAGGTTGCCAGCTGTGTATGGGTCATGCTGTGGATCAAAATCTTCTTTCTCTTGTGCAACAAGATGTCAAAGAACTCATAAAGAACTACAAGAAAAGTGAAGCAGAACAATCAGCCATTCAAGAGTTATTAGGTCAGCAGAGAACTGAGCAAGCTGAAATGCAAAACACTGTGACTTTCATCCAAGGTGAGCAATCGTCAACAAGAGTTCAATTGCGGGAACACAATGAGCTGTTGGAAGCAATGCTAGAGTGGAAAGAACAACAGATGAAAGAGAAGCAAGAAATAATGGAAAAGCTTGTGTCCCTGGAGAAAACGCTCAGTGACGAATTATTGATTCGAGTTGACAGATTGGAAAAGGGACTAGCTAAAGCAGATGGCAAAGTTGAACAACTGGAGGAGGGATTTGCCAGGACCGATGACAAATTTGAACAACTGGAGGAGGGATTTGCCAGGACCGATGACAGAGTGGAACAACTGCAGCAAGGGTTTGCCAAAGTAGAAAACGACGTTTTTGAGACAGGAAAGAAAATCAAACAACTGGAAGAAGAAGTCACAAGTCAGAGAATGGAGAACAATCCAGGTTAGTTTTTGTAATTTGTAAATTCAGAGGAAAAGAACAGTGATGAATGGTATCAGGGAACAACAATCTGGGGGTAATCAATGATTCTGATCAGCCACTGAGTATCGGTGATTATCAATGCGTAATTGATGATGTTATCAGTAGGGTAACTTCTGCTGCCCTACTAATCAAATCGTACCACTTTTAACATAAATCAAATCGTACCAAGTTTAACATAAAGTTAACATAAAACTATCATTTCTTTACATATGTTAAAAGAGGTTTGACAGCCAGTAAGGTGAGTTAATTACTCGATCATGGTAATGAAAACGTTGAAGTAAATGTTTGGAAACTTAGAGAACGATTGACGTGAGGTTGGGAAGTTGAAATGTTTGATAGTTCCCATGGAGAATTAATATTTAGTATTTTTACACATTTGCTTCCTGGTGTGGACAGGGTGTTTGTATTGGGTTTAAGTGCCTCTTCTTAAACTGTTTGTGTATATGCACGCTACCTCTACAAGCAAGCCTCTCCCCCCCCCCCCC